TATATTCCGGTTTAGGGGGAGGAATTTCCAACAGAAGAGTGAGAAGTAGACGGCATTCACCAAAACTGCAACTGAAATTGACTCCAGACTCGGTACATCCTGGTCCTGTTTGAGAACAACAAATCCATGTTGACATTTAAAGCTGATGACACCAGTTCTGTTGTTGTCTAAGTGTAGTGATGGTTTATTTTTATCATGAGACGGGAGGCAGGTGACATTTTAGAAAGAAGCCTATCCGCTACGATTTTCAGCTGCGTCCAACCGACTATTTGATAGAATCAGACCCCGCAATCAGCCGAATTTGCAATATGTAAAAATCTATTGACAGCTTTGCGATGAGCTCACATACAACTTGTCAATCGATGTGAGGTTTCTGCTTTTCGTAGATCCGGTTCCCAAATGAGGTAGGCAGATAAAATGGACACCAAATCTCTCTTTCTCCCGTACACGTGAATACACACGTCACAGGGATATGATATGGACCGTACTCAGCAGATTCTAACACACAATCATCACGAAAACAAAGCAGCCAATCAAATTACAGCACAGGGTCGCAAATGACCAATAGGATTGAAGGCACATAAACAGCCAATCAAAACCATCAAACGGAACTGTATAAGCCCGGTCACACAGAGCTGATTCTTTCCCGAGGTTGCACTGATGACGTTGCCTAGCCTGGCTACGAAAGGTCCATGAACAACACTTCCAGTTCGGAGAACACACCCAAACACCAACATCTGCATTCCGAGCTACAATAATTCTACATTATTTTCAACCTACAGGATTCGATAAAAAAAGCTGAAAGGTGACGACAACTATGAGCAGCACAAAATTCTCTAATTTTTCAACTTTTATCTCTATCAGGTTTAGTGATTCACATCTATCACTGGGACACATAGACAGTGTGAAGCAGATGTACAAACCACTAACAGACTAAATCAAGCAAGACACATGACCAATAACGAATTATTTGTTAATTTTTTTCCCATTCTTCAGTAGTTGGAAGTGTTGAAGGTCACAAATGCAATGCCTGTATATACTATAGACTACACGCCAAACGCAATCATACATTTTCCATTATTAGGAATAACAACGCGTGGGTACGAAACAACTCTTAGTTTTAATGCTTGTGTAACCCAAACTTATGGTTCAAATCATTTTGGGCAATCTCACTGACAAAAAATGACCGGGGGTAAGACGAACATCTGACATCGCTTGCTTCAGTATCACGTTTATCTAATCACGTGGTCTCGTGTAATGCACTACATCCGCTTGAAGGAGGTGGTTTACTGGTTCCTACAACAGATACAAGCACGCGGACCACCCATATCTCCACGATGCATCAGACCACGGGATGCCCTGGTAAAAACTGACCTCACGCATGCTGAAAGGGAAGCAGAACAGGAATGCGTAGCCCACTCTGCGAATCAGATCCAACGTGGCCTCGTGATCTTCTTCTGTTTCGCCACAAAAACCAGTGATAAAATCGCTCGTAATGGCCGCGTCTGAATAAATCGGAGATAAAGGCATCGTGATAAACAGTCAACAGTGAAAGTAAAAGACATTAAAAAAGCGAATGACGAACTGCTTCAGTGCATGCAACAAAGTGAAGTAAAGTTCATATTGTGACATCATACATACGGTGACAATCAGAGGGGAGAATATCACACAATCTCATGCTAACCAAGACAAAATTACCGTGATACAAACACACAATGACGAGAGAAAACAGTCGATAGTTAAAACCCGGCCGAAATGGGCTATAACAGGCGACAAAAATCAAATAGGCACTCCGATCAGTTTTTACAACTAATAATTATGAAATTTTTGCGCGGTGGTTTCGGTCGCGATTTTTTCTTGGTTACCCATTGATACGAAGCAGTGCACTGAAAATGGGAATGTTGAAAGCAGTGGCAAGGTTGAAATAGAGAATGCAGAAAGACTAAAGTTCCAAGGATATTGAGTAGATGCACAAGCGATACTGTTTACGACAGTATTAGTAGTAGACAACTTTGCTACCATCCGGTTAAGTACCACACCTAATCTATAAGGACCTTAAGTGGGTCACCATTCCAAATCCTAAGGTTTAGGTTACCGGTTTGCATCAATGAACAACAAGTCCTTGTGACTGTGGGGTTCGTCCCGTCTGTTGTTTATCACACGGAAGTGTGTGGTAAAAAACAGTCCTAATATTCACTGTCCCTAACGATCAATCAGGCCGATCTCGAAAATTCTATTCTATCCAGGAGGTCAGCAGTGACCTACATGAATGACTGAGCTAGACGAAAAAAGTCCGATGCAAACACTACACTTTGAAGGTGCGAGACGCATGCCAGAAATCAAAATACGTTTCCCGTGACGAGAAATGTGCCCAAACAAGTAGTGTGACGTAATCGGATGGCACGCAAAGCATCGAAAACTATCATCGTAGAACACGCATAGTGACCAAAGCATCATTCACGGACTCTTATGTCGGCAACAACGTTCGGTCAGTGTGCACACATTTTGGGATGTGCTCGTGGTAAGATAGCACACGATCACAGTTATAGCTCTTTTTATTCACTTAGATATATGGAATCGTGAGTGTTAATCAAGTTTGCTTGCACCCATCCTATTATTGTATCCCGTATAAATCAATAAGTACGCGAGTGGTGAATTAATTAGTTATTCTATTTTCCGTATGTAAATGCCAGTGTGACCAGTCCGCAGGTCAGTGAACAAGTGAACAGCACATCAACACAAATTCAAATTTCAAATTTTTATTATGGGATATAACTTACAAAGACTTCGCTTTTACAAATCCCATAGGGTGTTTACACATTGGTTCGGATGAAGAATCACAATATCACAGTTAGTCCATGAAGGTAAAGTAGTA